CAAAAACACTGAACAAATCACTCTCCAAGACAACTCGCTATTCCAATGTCATTTACTGTAAAAGAGTCTTTGAAAATGAATGAATAACTCACGGGAGACCCATCACTTTTGCATACAATATGATATGTATGTATACTTCTACAGTATGGAGATTTGTTGACTTTTTGGGACATTTCTATTCACTATGTGCTTTCACACAGTTTACAGCAGCATGAACATTCTTCAAAATATCCTCTTTTATGTTCCACAGAAAATACAAAGTCTAATGGGTTTGGAATGACATGAAGGTGAGTAAATAATGACAGAATTTTCATTTTTTGGGTAACTACCCCATCAACACTGACCAAGACTGGTTACTGATGTCTCACAGCATTCATTTCCCAAACAACAGAACACAAACCCACAAATCCAATCTCACACAGAGCAAAATGGTCACACACGAAATCACATATAACTTTGTGGAAAGACACAAAAATCGAACTATTCTACTGACGGCTCCTGTATCTGCGGAGATTGTGAATATAATTAGTCATATCCATCCTGTTAGCCTATTAGTGTGAATATTTCATGATAGAGATGGGTGACAGAATAGATCTGCTCGCTCGTTCTCGCTCTCTCTGGGACACTTTTGCTGAGGTCACTGACTGTCAATCACTGCAGGGGAGCCAAATAACACACCTGTTATTAGAAACACCAACAACGCCCTCTCTCTGTGGGACAGGCAAACGATTCTGTGGAAATAAGTTTTTTTTTTTTTTTAAACATCTGATGAATTCCTCTGTGTTTATAGTGTGTGTATATACGCATTATTGTTGCATAGACTTATAGACTTTACTCAGCACCATATTTAATTTCTGACAGCAATGAAAACAAGGCTGTGAATTATAGAAGTAAAGTGTATTCATTGGATCGTACTGTTGTTTACCAGCTTACCAACTGTTCAGCTGACAACACATCTTTCAAAAAGTCTTCCAGTAGACAAAAACTCCATAAAACCGTTTGAAAGTTTTGAGTTATGAAAATTACATGTAATCTAGGACCTTTATACAGCGCATGCCATTGTAAACACTGTAGTCTATCTCTCACTAACTTGTTTTTACCCATGTAAAATTGAATGTGGTGTCTTAACATTTTTTAACAGATTATGTAAGTCAACAAATGATTCATGTTAAATCAAATCAACAAAATCTGTGATTGAATGATTAACTTACAAAAAGATGCCCACTAATCGCCACAAACTTCCTTTATGATGTAACTTGCAGAAAAGGCTCTAAATTAATCTTTTTGGTAAATGGGATGTGACTCAGTAGATTTTAACGGGATAATGGGATGTCAAGGAGACAATGGGATGATTTAAAGTCTCATCCACTACCATTTATTCAATGACTTGCAACAAATTTCTGTAACTGTCCTTATTTTCTAACATTTTGCTTACATCAAGTTTGTGTGTGTGTCTTTCCACCCTTAATGCTGTTTATATAAGACTATGTATCCCAACCTCCCGCAGCTCTCTCTTCCTGTAGCATGTCTCATTAGTGACGGCCTGGCTCTCCTCGCTGCTAATTGACCTTTAATTATCCCAGTGACCCCACTGCGGCACCACATGCCTGTTACCGTAGCGATAGGGACGCACGCCATGCGTTGAGACCAAAGAAGCGGTAGGCAGTCCTCTAACAGACAATAACACTTGTCCAAGTGGGGAGAAAAAAAAATTAGCCATGTCTATATCTAGACAGACATGGATTCATTTGAATATTGCAACATTATTCCATTAAAAAATTTCAAGCTGAGTCTGTGCAGAAGAGCTTCAAAGATTTCAAAGAGTTTCAAAGTTTCAAGAGATTTCAGTACTGTTAGAATGTCCAGGTGGAAATAAAAAGAAAGAAAAGGCGCTGACGGGAAGGTATTTCTACTAGGTATTTCTCTCAAAAATTAAATAAAATATAGAATATTAGGTTAAAAAGGCAATATCACTGTCATTCTGGGAACCATCCAGTCACCGTGAAAACCTTATGTACTCTGTGACACTATTTGTACACTGCTTTTCAACTTGGGCTGGTTGTCCTGGTTGGCGTCCTTCACATAAACAGCATTATGGACACAGATGACGGCACAGGAGGAGACACTGCCTATCGCTGCGATTGGATTAGTGAATGACAGGAAGTCGGTGCCCAAGCGAGGATATGATCTAAGAGATGTGTTACCGCTGTACAGACCATGCTAATATGAGCACGACATCTGCTATAGGGACATACTGTATATGACTGACGAGGACAAAGAATTGACATGAGATAAAGACATACAGAAGTCACGTTTGCCTGTGTGCAAGCCCACGATAACAGTTAAAGGAGTCATATCACATTTATATATATATATATATAATGGACCTAAATATAATAATAATAATAATAATATTTTTTTATCCTGAGGTTCAAGGATATGAAGAGCAGCAGGAAGAGAAAGATGAGATAGAGATACATTTGTTTTTTTATGATGTGACCCCTTTAAATCAGAGCTCTTGTAACACACACTCCAACATTTAAACATGGAGGTGATAAGAACAAACATTTGAACATACACACATATTCTGGTTATGTGTTTTGTAGAAACGTGTCGTGTTGATTGGATTGTCCATGTATTTCATTTTGGTAAATTCCCTTCTAGTGATCCAGAGGAAACGGCTGCAATTTCAATTCACATTAAGAAAGACGCTCGAAGAGAAATAAGTCCGCAACCATAATTGTTGTGTAAACTCCAACCTAAGCTTGCTCAGAGACTGCCTACATTAATTTTTTAATTCACATCATCAACCCACCTGTCAAACTACTGTGTGTAGAGGTAGTAATTAAAAGCATTAAAACAGAAAGTATAATTAGGCTCACAGCAGTGTCTGCCTCAGCCTCCATGTTTGAAGCACAAATACGGTCTCAAACATAAAAGGGACAGAAGATCCCCAAAGCTTGAAAAGCAGAGTAGTTTTTGTGAGTCACACTTTGAAAGCTTTGTGCCGTTTCTTTCTTTCTTCTTCTTCTTTTTGTTTTACTTTTGATGACTTTTGAAAGGCTGGTTAATAAAAATAATACACTTACTTCATCAACATTTATCCCATTCATCCTAATAATGACTTTAATCAGGATAAATGGGATTTAAATTTAATTAAAGTTTATAACACAAACCTATTATGAGATCACAAAAACTTTCCACCAAAATGTCAGCAAAAATGTAGTATGGTAATTGGTGCATAAGATACTTTGTTAACCCTTTTCCACCAACATGGTGCCAGTGTCAGAGCCCAATCTAGTCCCATTCCAATACAAATAAATGGACATAATTTGTAATTCCAAACCTATATGACTTTTTCCCCCTTGAAACAACAAAAGGAGATTTTAGGAAGAATTACCTAAAGATGTGACAGAATTCACATACTGTGCTTGTGAGGTTAAGTTACCTTTTAAGAATGTTAAGTTGTGTGTTGAGGTGGTTTCCCTTTTAAGAGATTTATGCTTGCATTTTGGTTGGAGTGCATTAAGGTGATTCAACTGGTTCACAGCTTTTCATCCAATTTCTACAGTGACTGTGTTCATTTAAATGCACAGACACCTACATGTAGTGACCCCGACACACAAACTGTGTCTCTGCCTGGACAAACCACACTGCAGCTTAGTGTTACTAAAACTCTGGTAACTTGAGAGTGACTGCATTGGCCATCATCTAGTCAAATCACAACAACAAATAACTCTGACATTCAAGAGCATTAGGGTCACCACATGTAGGTGTCAGTGTGTTTAAATGAACACAGGCAACATTGAAATTGGATTCACAAAGCTGTGAACCAGCTGAACCATTTTGATGCAGTTCAACTAAAACACAAGCATAAATCTCTTAAAGGGGAAACCACCTCAACACACAACTTACTGTAACAAGCACAGTATGTGAATTCTGTCACATCTTGAGTGTATACCACCATACTAGTGACTTTTATTGCATGGAAAAAAAGATGCAATGGAATTGAATTGTGACTGACTTGTCAGTATCAATGATTTTGCCTAGACTCACCATTAAATGGTTAGTTCACCCAAAAATGAAAATTAGCCCATGAATTACTCACCCTCAAGCCATCCTAGGCATATATGACTTCCTTCTTTCAGATGAATTCAATCGGAGTTATATTAAAAACTGTCTTTGATCTTCCAAGCTGTTTAATGGCAGTCAGCGGTTGTTGCAGTTCATCAGTCCAAAAGAAGTGAAATAAAGCGCATCCATTCATAATAAAAAGTGCCTCACACGGCTCTGGGGGGTGAACAAAGTCCTCCTGTAGCGAATCGATGCGTTTTTGTAAGAAAAATAATCATATTTAAAACGTAATAATCAATTTAATCTAGCTTGCACTCACTGTTGTACACGGAGGCAGCTCCGGGCGGATGACGTAAGACGGTTTGAGGGTGAGTAAATAATGGGCTAATTTTCATTTTTGGGTGAACTATCCCTTTAAGGTTCCCCAGAGGGAATTTACATGGGTTTGGAACAACATGAGAGTAAGTAAATGATCACATAATTTTAATTTTTGAGGGTACTATCCCTTTAAGACTATCCCTGTAAAAAAATACAAACAAACAAAAAATCATGATGCACCCTATTTGTTTGTGGGCAGTTATAGCATTGTTCGGCTCTCAAATGCAGCTCTGGCGGTGCTGGAAGAGATCCACAGGTCCCCTGGCTAAGCACCGGCTAAGTGGAAAAGGGTTATGCTTCCTGTGTGGCATGATAGGGCTTTGGTAATCATCAATCTTTCTAAAAGTGTGGAAAACAAAACAATAAAACCAAAGAAAATGCAGTGAAATCAAAGGATCAGAAAACACAGCAATAAAACCTCATACCCGCCTCCTTGTATCCCTTGATGAGAGATAACCATGCATAAGTGGGACGGGGCAGTGGGGGAATACAAGAAAAAAAGGGTAAATGGATTAAAGGGATAAAGGAGCTGGAGAACAAGCACACACCTTCAGTGAGGGAGGACACAGGCAAAGAGACCTCCATGCATGCGGCGGACTGGGCCTTGCGGAAGGGCGGTCGGCCAGGCCCCCTGCGGGCGAGGCGTGGCCCTTCAGGGCCCCCCGGGACTCTGGCCCTCCCAGTCAGACAGGGCTGGGAGGTGGGGCTAGTGCAATGTCCATTCACATGATCTGTAACAACGGGCATAGCATTAGCAAGAAACCCAAATGAGATTAGAAATAGAAGAGTGTGTGTGAGAGAAAGAGAGGTGAAGAGGGCAGTGGGGATGAAAACAATGCAGCCGCAAAGGAGAGAGAAGCCTTAACAGTAAGAGGAAGTAGTCATATAATACCAGCTTTAATCAGCCAAAAATCGTTCTGATTTGAAAAGGAGAAATTTAAAGGAAAAATTAAAAAGAAAAGGGAAGGGATAATGGAATGGAAAAAAAGGAAAAGGGGTGGCAAAGGAAAATAAAAAGATAAAGGAAAAGGAAATGGAGGACAGGAAAAGGAAAGTGGAAATGTTAAGGAAAAATGAAATAAAAAGGGAAAACAAACAAACAAACAAAACAGAAAAAAGAGAAGGAAAAATACAAAAGCAAAAATGAAAAGGGACAAGAGAAAGAACATGGAAAAGGAAAGGACAGTTGCAGATAATGGCAGCTGTTCAAAAAATTAAGCATTCAGAGAGGCTTTCTCATCCCTTCTCAACTCAGACACTTGAAAGAACGAAGGTGGCGGACTTGATTTTACAGAAAAACAGAAGCTTCCATCTGCAGTCTATTTATGCAGTTAGTTGAGGGAGGTCTGGTTGAGTATTCAGGAAAAGACCCAGATTCAAACTCCCTGCATCTAAAACATCACATTTTTCAGCAACACCTCCAACACACCTGGATCAAAGTCTTACTGGTGTCTACCTGCGCGAGACATCCTGTAGCCAGAACCTCTCACTTGGAGGCAATTTGTTTATATCTACCACAGTATCCTCTAGGTTTTGACTGACTCCTGACTATTCTGACATTCTAGCTGTATATTTCCCTCCCTCCCTCCATGTTATATCTATCAATCATTTTCATGCCAACGCAGCCATCCAAATCCACGACTGTCTGCTGTCATTTCATATTAGTGGGATTTCTACTCATTTTTATATAGCACTGTAGACTTGGCAACCAAAACTTTGACACTGACTCATGGGGAAACAAAGCACTATTAAGAACACCATCTGTAGTACATTTGAGAAACTAAAATCATAATTTTAAAGACTACATTTGCTAGTTCATATTTTCTTGTATGAGTAAGTTTTTATAGTGTATAATTTATACACTAACATTTAAAAGTTTGGGGTCAGTAGAAGACACACACACTAGCTCTCTATCTCAGTCACACACACATATATTACACTCACACAACACACTGTAAAAGACTGTAAAAAATTCTACAGTAAAAACCTGTTAATTGGTTAACAGTAAGTTTCCATACTATATACGGTGAATAATTGTAATTAAATTTAATGTAATTTTACAGTAAAATACTGTTAGAAATAAGTTTTTTGGAAGTGAAAAAGAAAAAGTCACTGTATAATTTACAGTGAAAAAACGTAAATTGACACTCCCAGAATTCCCTGCATGACACTTCATATTTGATGTTTTTTTGTTGTTGAAATAACTTAGTTTGTGATGAGCTTTGGTTCATCATGTGACTTTCTCATCACCACCAGTTTTTGGTGGTTATCAGTGCATTACAATGGTCCAAAACAGATATTAGTACTTCAATATGTTGGTTTATTAATATTACATCAGTTAATGAAATACAGTATTTTATTGTGAATTTAAGTTAAGTCTGTAAAACCTAAAATGTTGCTACCATATTTTTCACGATGAAGTTCTGGCAACCACAGCTGCCAGTATTTTACCGTATATGTCACAATGTCACTCATAAATCGGCTTTTTAATAATGACTGATTTTTTTAATGTAATTTTTCTGTTTTTATGGCCTAAACCTTCAAAATCTTTTCATATTACTAAATGACCCAAGACTCTACAGTGCTTTGTAATATTTTTCAAGCGCAAATCAAAACCTTCGAGGATTAGAAACAAGTGTAATCACTCATGGCCCAGATGGTCTATTTTCCTTTGTAAAGCTGCACAGCTTGACCTGTTGAAGGAACACTTTCATTATTACTCATTAGGTCAAGTTTGGCACAAGAAATTGGAGAGGAGCTTGTTCAGCCCTCAGCGAGAGGTGTGTTAGTTACAGCCTAGCATGAAACAAAAAGCCAGACAAGAAGGAAGAAAAAAGGAAAAGAGAACAAGGAAAGATACTCAACAAAAGAGACAGAGTGAGACAATTCGGAGTATTTCCGTAAAAGGCTGAAGAATGAACCAAGTCACGATGAGGCAAGCTCACTTGCAGAGAATGGTCTCATTACATTAGTGCATGTTGTTCAGAGGTAGAAGATGGTCCAATCACAAATGAGCAGGCTTTCATAGAGTTAGAGAATGGTCCAATAGGGTTAGAGCATGTTTTGAGGTATAGAATGACCCAATTACGATGGAGCAAGGCCTTTAAGACGTAAAGGATGAACCAGTCGCGAAAGAGCAAGATTTCAGAGCGATACCTTTTCTCAACTTAAGAATGAGTATGTTGAACAAACCACCTTTGTAAACACTTGCAAAATGTACATTGAGAAGCATAATAATAATTTAAAAAAACCACACGCAGAGATGTGAGGAGGAAACTTTTGTGCCACGTCATGGATTCAGATGAGAAGAAAGTGAAAGAATAAAAATGCAATAAATATGAACTTTAAAATGCAAAGACAAGGGGCTTCATCGTGTCATTCTCAGCAGGATGGAAACATAGAGAGTTGATGCATCGAAGGCAATAATAAAGAAAAAGATCTGCTCGCTTTCGGCCTACCGTACCAAGATCAGTCTTAAGATCTGTGGGTAGACTTAACTTTCTGCCTGGTCCCTTGACTGAAACAAAAATAGGACAGAAAGGGCAATTAATCCATTTAAGAAAACAAAACAAAAGGCAAAATAAAGAGATCAGCTCAAATTAAAATTGAATAAAGAAAGAAAGAAAATCATTTAGTGTAACACATGCAGGTGTACGCACTGATATATGATGTTTCATTCGACAGTCATGCCTGATCGCATACTGCCACCAGCTGAACAGATTTGTCTGTTTTTAGACAAGCAAACACACGCATGCAGAACGCATCTAAGTACAAACGTATAACTCATAATCAATTTTTTCAATTTCCATTTCCTTCCATGTTGATAGGGAAAAAAACATGCATGAATTAATCAAAATAACTGTAAAATATTTAACAATAGAATGTAACAGGTTGGATCTATTGTATTGTATTGTATTGAACAGAAACCACAAAAACCACACAGAAAACAATCACGTGTGCATGCATACACAATTAGTAAACATAAACACAGAGGTTCAAATTAAAGTGTAAAAAGATAAACAAAGTGAGCTCAACATTTTGCAAGCATTTTGCACCGCAAAGGTTAGAGTGTATACTGAACCAAATGTCTAATATATTGTAGGATTACTGCTGAAATGGGATTAAACAGAAAATTAAAAGATCTGCTCGCTTTCGGCCTACCGTACCAAGATCAGTCTTAAGATCTGTGGGTAGACTTAACTTTCTGCCTGGTCCCTTGACTGAAACAAAAATAGGACAGAAAGGGCAATTAATCCATTTAAGAAAACAAAACAAAAGGCAAAATAAAGAGATCAGCTCAAATTAAAATTGAATAAAGAAAGAAAGAAAATCATTTAGTGTAACACATGCAGGTGTACGCACTGATATATGATGTTTCATTCGACAGTCATGCCTGATCGCATACTGCCACCAGCTGAACAGATTTGTCTGTTTTTAGACAAGCAAACACACGCATGCAGAACGCATCTAAGTACAAACGTATAACTCATAATCAATTTTTTCAATTTCCATTTCCTTCCATGTTGATAGGGAAAAAAACATGCATGAATTAATCAAAATAACTGTAAAATATTTAACAATAGAATGTAACAGGTTGGATCTATTGTATTGTATTGTATTGAACAGAAACCACAAAAACCACACAGAAAACAATCACGTGTGCATGCATACACAATTAGTAAACATAAACACAGAGGTTCAAATTAAAGTGTAAAAAGATAAACAAAGTGAGCTCAACATTTTGCAAGCATTTTGCACCGCAAAGGTTAGAGTGTATACTGAACCAAATGTCTAATATATTGTAGGATTATTGCTGAAATGGGATTAAACAGAAAATTAAAAAAAAAATATGCATGAGTGGATTCAAAATACTAATTCAACATTAGTTTCCATTGTGTAGCAAAACAATTTAATAACCAGGCATGTTATCCCAAAGAACGTCTCTCAAAGTCTCTATTTATATGATGTACTCCAGGACACTAAAACACACAGAGCAGCATACTCTCCTCCTAAGCATCATTTCGATTAAATGTTTTTAAAGTAGGGTGTGATTTTAGAAAGTCATTTTCAACATGGTGCTAATGGTGTCACCACGAAATGGTCTAATGAATGCAACTTGCTTTCCTATGTTTATCAAGGAGGTCTATCTGGAGAAAGCTATCCATTAGCATTCCCATTCATCTTGGCTGGAGCAAGGCCACCGTTTTACACATTTAAGAGTCCTTTATATTACTTGCAAAAATTTTCATTTTGAATGGAAGATGATTTGACCATGACCAAATGGTGTACTAGTGGCATCAACTAGCCCTTGCTAACTGGATCATACTAACCAACCAAACATTGACCCATTGGTATTGCCATTTCCCAATGAAACAGGAATATGGAGTGGATCACATGAAAAGACTTCTTCACAAAGCAAGAAATCTTGAATTTAAATTGAACTGTAAATTGATTGCTTTGGATTTATGTTTACTTTTATCATCACTTCAAAAAAAAATCTCTTCCAGTAAAAAGGCTTTGAAAACATTCCACAGTATAGAACAATTTGCAAATATATATGTTTTTGCATACAAATATATATATGCTTGACATTTTAAATTTTTAGGAGTTGCTAACATGAACAGAGTTTCCAATTTTAACTTTAAAGGGGTTCTATTATGCTCTTTTACAAAGTCTTGATTTTGTTTTGGGGGTGTACTAGAACAGGCTCTCATACTAGGTTGTTCGAAAA